GAGAGAGAGAGAGATGTAGTACTACGAAGAGAAGATCGTTTTAGCGCGGAGCGAGGAGCAAGGAACATGGAACCTTGTAGGAGAGTTTTTTCTTTTTTTTGCCTGATTTGTATGCACGTGGTCACACAGGTAACATGTGAAAATTTCTGATATACTTGTGTGTATACATAAGACTGTGTGTGTGGTCTGTAGATGTATGCAAGACGTGTACACAAACGCCAACCTCTATATGTTGATAGTATGCATATATATTCGGTGGAAAGTCACCCCCTAGCTATGGTCTATAGAAGATGTCTTCTTCCTCGTAGTGGCCACTGTAGCTGTTGAAGAACCAAGTCCACTCTCAGCGGGTAACTAGTTAGTTAGATGAGGACGTGGCCTGGAGGGTCCAACCGTTGAGCAGTGGCCGCTAAAAGAAGCCACTGCCATCATGGCTAGGTTCAAAGTCAGTTTATACTCGTCCTGAAATTGCAAACTTTTAGTCACAGCGGGGAAAGCCGGGCAGCACCACAAGTTCAGCACAGTAAATCCCCCAATTAATCCCCTACGCTGACTCTGACTGGTGGTGGTGGCGCAGGGCTGACTGCGGGCCAGGAGCCACGTGTCCAATGAAAATACAATCGCAGATACTGGTACTGGTACAGCCGATAGCGTACTGCTACCGGTTGCGTAGCATGTACTGGGCCGAAATCCGCCTCGGGAGGAGTGGCTAGGGGCCGGATCTGGGCCGTGCGAACCTTAACCCGCACACTTGCAACTCCCTAAAGGGGCAATAGTAACTAGTTAGTAGATCTCAGTTTTAAGCGGCTATGTATGTTAGCCTCAGCCGGGCCTTTTAGCTAAGCAAATCGCCGCTGCTTGGCGACGGTTGACAGCCGGCTGGAGCTAGTAAGATCTACAATGCCGGTAGATGTAGACCGCTTCACCACGGGCCAAGCTTCACGCTATGCCAGAAACCTACCACCTCGACGAGCGATCGGGCAACAAGAACAGAGTGATCGGGCTACGCCGTTGTCATACGGCGGCGCAAAGCTACCAGCTTGTGGCGTTTGGCGCTCAAGAAGCATGACAGGCAATCTTGTTCACCGGTCAATAGAAATCGCAGACGAGACAACGTGGGCTCGCCACGTCGTTGGTCGAGGCCTGTCAAGGTTTTGTCTAGAAAAAGACAATCCCTGCACAGGTGCCCATCTTGTCATGACCGAGGATCTGCTGCTGGGGGGGCGTTGGCTTGGCGCTGTACCGCCGTTCCGAGATGTCTGCACAGGCTCCGGAAAAGGACAGCCTTATGCCGAAGCTTCCTAATATCGAGTTTGGGAAAATTTCTCGGCAGGAGGTGGTGTCGCGTGAGAGTATACTGTTCTAGTCACTGGCGCGCCAGAGGGATGAACATTGCAATTATCAGCAACCGAAACCAGAAGCCGTCTTTCCATGTATTGTAGCAACTACTATATATGAAATTAAAGAAGCAAGGCAGTCAGGACTAGAAAGTGCAAGGTACAGTTATCGTCTTTAATCCCCGTGAATCGAGGACAGTAATACATCCGGTGTCCACTGGCAGTCGTCCTGCCACGATTCCGCCGGCACGTGCGGGAGGATATGCAACAAGGTTCGCTCAACCCCTCTGCGGGTTTCCACCGACATGTAGCTCATGACGGTGGCCATGTGCAGCGCGTAGCTGCTCATGGTGGTGCCCTTGATGCGCGGCGCAAAGTGGTGATACAGCGTGTCGTACAGCTCGTCGACGGACCGCGTCCACTGCGGCTCCCGCTCGAGCAGGAGCGCGTCCAGCTGCGCGATGCGGGTCAGCGAGGGCGTGCCCTGCGGCGGCTCGATGCTCGTCGAGGATTGGATCAGCAGCACGATGAACAGGATACAGGCGATGCGCGTGTAGTCGTGCTGGTCAAAGTGCGTGCCGCGGGGCGCCTCGATCGAGGCCGGGATGGCAGCGTGCAGCATGGCTACGGCGCGCTGCAGCGCCGCGTATATGGTAATGCCGTCCGAGTACAGTTCCACCCAGTTGTTCATGAGCGTGCGCGTGTCCTGTATGAACGAGATGAGCCAGAGGGACCGGATCCGGGCGAGGGCGTCCTTGCTGCCCAGCAAGGTGTGGAGGCCCGCGTGAGCCGACATGGACGAGTCGGAGAGTTCCCAGAGCTGATTGGAGCTGTCAAACCAGGAGGGCTTCGACATGAGACTGATTCTATGGGGAACTTCGTGTTAGCGGCTGTGGGGGGTACATGATACATGATGCCATGGGCTATGTTCTCACAAGTAAATGGTCAATTCGAGCCTCCAGTTGTTTTGGAGCGCGCCAACACCTCCGCGCTGGTCGATGAGTCGTTGTAAACCAGCTCTGTGAACAAGCCACTCGGCCTCGGTCCCCCAGTATCTCTTGAATGTATCCGTTAGTGTCTGTTTTTTTCAAAGTAAATCTCTTGCTGCAAATGGCAAACTCACCTCGTACGCCAGAATTCTGGATACGGCAGCCAGGACGTCGTCACTCAGGGCCATCTTGTCGTCGGCCATCCACTCCGACAGGATGCGGATGGCTTCCGCCTTGAACTGCAGCGCCTCTGTTGAGCGCAGACGGCCCTGCATGCGCGCCAAGTGCGCCGCCGACTGGGCCATGACGGCGTTGAAGGCAGCGGCATTCGACAGGTCCAGCGGGAAGAAGACATCCCGCAGCGGGTTAAACTTTGCCCTGGACCTAGTCCCAAACATCATGGTCGCGTACATGGTCAGCCCTAGCGCGTTGTCGTTTTAGCCAAAGGAAACGGAATCAATACAAAGGTTGTAAGCAAGCAGTGGGCTTACAGTGCAGAATGAGCTTGTGATGCTGCGCGGTGAGCTTGATGGGAAACTGGTCAAACGGATCCAGACGACAGTTTCCGAGGGCCAGGTTCATGCCGGAGAGCACCTGGGCCGAGATGCCGGGCTCGATGGCCACCTTTTTCGGTGACCGAGACGTGGTCGGTCTCCTGCTGCTGCCGCTGCCGCTGCTTGCCGAGGCAGTGCCACCGCGACCGGGCCGCAAAGTCAGCGGCGGCACCGGCGGCATGTTTGCCTGGGACCCGGCAGCGGCGGCGGCGGAGCGAGACGAGCTGCCCGCGTCGACGCTCTTGGTGCGCCGGCGCTGCTTCCAGTACTCGCGCATGGCGTGGCTGCGCGAGTCCTGGGGTGTCTGGTCGTTGACAAAGGCAAACGTGGTGGCATAGCGATCGTCCTTTTGACGGCCAGCCGGCGGCAGCCGCTCGTCTGGCTTCTCACCGGGCGACATGGTGAAGGTATCGCGAGAGGCCAATGATTGGGGGGAGTCCAGAAGACAAGGGAGTGTTGCCACCAAGTCGGTTGCAAAGAGCAAAGAGCAGAGAGCAGAGAGCAGAGAAGCAGAGACCAAAGAAGCAAAGAGCAAGAAGCAGGCTTTTAACCTCGAGAGAGCAGTCCTAGTTGAAGTCATGCCAAGCGATTTCCCGTCACCGTTTTGTCCTTTGCCTGCTTGAATACTGCGACCTGGACGTCAAGACAAAACGCGTTCCCCGCATTGGTTTACAGTTTCTGCGACTATTAATCTGCTTGCCTGCCTGCAAATGCGAGTGGAGCAGTTGACATTTTGCTAGTGCCAATCCTTCTCATTAGCTTTCTTAAAATGGACTACACAACTATTTCCATTAATAGTATTTAGTTCTCACACGTTCCAACTAAAAGACTACTTACCTAACTACCTGACTACCTGACTACCCCAGTACCTATAACCGCGCCTCAAGCTTTGCTTTGGGCGCCTCTATAAGCCGCTCTACAGTGCCAAGAAGAGTCTTCCATGTTGTCATGTCTATGTGCGTGTGTAGGAGGGAGCTTGCAAGGAAGGGCCTTGGGAGAGAGTACACGGTCTCCAGTATGGATGGCTCTGTGATCAATGTCAAAATCGGTATCCCATTCCTCGGCATCCCATCCGCCGGTATCCCATTATTCGGGACTCGGGATCACTCCGTCGCCTGTGAACGTGTGCTCTGGCCTTGATAGGGTTCTGTCCATCCGCATTGCCAACGGCCAAGTCTTGAACCGCCGGCTAAAAGATCCTCCAGTTGACAGCTTGCTATTACTCAAGAAACAGGGGTTCATATTTGCCGAGAGTCAACGAGACCCATCGCGGTGATGAAGTTGCTAGCCCTGCGTGGGACCGGGCTGTCCCAAACCTACTTGCTGCCCCACGTACGCCTCACTGGCCCTGATTCGGCGAGCTGTTTGTAAAGGTAAAGGCACAATTGTCTGTGCGGTCTGGGCGTTGATATGCTGATCATGTCGTGAGAATTGCAACCAACATGCCGACCGCGAGTCAAAAAGTTGTCACGACTCTCGACGCTTCCAGAGTACCGAGGGTCAAGCAGTTGTACGTAATTGGTGTCTTTATCTACTGAGGCACTTCGAAAGAAACTTTAAATTGGTTTCTCTAATTAATCGGTTCATGAGCCACGCCAAATCGTACGCTTTTAGTGGACATTTTAACAACTAAAGCGTTTCTTTGTAAAGTCACATATCCCAAGGCCAAGATCATCATGGCATCATCCAAGACGATAGTGATATCAAACCGAAGATAGTGACAACAAGCTCAAGATAATAGTGACAATAAGCTCAAGATGATTGCGATAGCAAACCTAAAGCGATAGTGGCATCCACGAGATAGATAGCCACTCTCAGACTCCTGGGAACGACTCACTTGGAGAGAGCTTCCTTCAATAGGGTTCTGAGCTCACTGTGGACCTTGCCCAAGTAATCTGTAATCACGACCCTTATTAGCCAATGAACAATATCCCGGCATAAAGACAACAACTTACCCAAAACCTTGCTCTGGAGTGGATCCGGTACATCCTGCAGCGTAGGCACAATGTTGTGCAGGAACTGCTCCTTGCCTCCCTTTTGGTTGCAGATGATGGTCCAAAGCTCTCTTGCCTGCACAAAGTCGCGCTCCTCGTCCAGCTGCGTGGCAAAGGCCGTGACGTTGCCGGACCACACCTCGTGTGTCGGCATCTGGACGCGCTTGCTCGTCGACACGGGGCACAGCTGCGAGCCGACATAGTCCGGGTCCGCGCCGTAGTTGCCGTTCATCGTGCCAGGCCCGTCTCGGACGTACGGCGCGTACACGCAGTTGATGGGCTTGTTGGGCGGCAGCTGGAAGTAGTTGGGGCCGACGCGGTAGCGGTGCGCGTCGGGGTAGGAGAACATGCGGGCCTGCAGCACGGGGTCGGCCGACGGCCCGATGCCGGGCACCATGTTGGACGGCGAGAAGCACGCCTGCTCAATGTCCTGGAAGTAGTTGTTGGGGTTCCGGTTGAGGGAGAAGCGGCCGATGCGGCGCAGCGGGTAGAGCGCGTGCGGCCAGGTATAGGTGTTGTCGAAAATGTCCATTGGCGCTGAGCTGACGTCCTCGGGCCGGATCACCTGCACGTAGACGGTCCAGCTGGGGAAGTTGCCCGTCTTGATGGCATGGAACAGGTCCTTGACGTGGTAGTCGGGCTCGGCACCCGCGAGATAGAGAGCGGTGCCGGCATCCATTGTCTTGACGCCGTCGTCGGGCTTAAAGTGCCATTTCACGTAGACGTAGCTGCCATCCTAGAACACGACACTATTAGCGGGGGTACACAAGGACATGATTTTCGTCACGTACCGCTTTGTTGAGAGTATACGTGTGAACGCCGTAGCCGCTAATGTTGCGGAGCGAAGCAGGGATGCCGCGCTGGCCAAACAGGTGCATCAAGGCGTGGATGCCCTCTGGGTTGTTGACATGAAAGTCCCAGAACATGCTGTTGTCGGGCACATTGGTCTGGGGGTGGCGCTTGTGCGAGCGGTTCATGGACGGGAACTTGATGGGGTCGCGGATGAAGAAGACGGGCAGGTCGTTGAAAACAAAGTCCTGGATACCCTCCTCGGTGTAAAACTTGGTCGCCCACCCGCGCACGTCGCGAACCGTGTCGCTCGAGCCCTTTTCGCCGCCCACGGTGGACATGCGCGTCAGGATGGGCGTCTTCTTGCCCACGCCCGTCAGGAACTTGGCATCGGTAATGTCGGACACGTCGTCGAGCACCTCAAACTCGCCAAAGGCGCCCGCGGCCTTGGCGTGGACACTCCTGCATCGACAGGGTTAGCCATCCTGTTCTCTGGTGATGTTGGCAGGGCATATTGTACCTCTCGGGAATGCGCTCGCGCGCAAAGTGGGCGAGGATCTCAATGGTTTGCGTGTCGCTGAGGACCACGAGGCCTCCGTTCGTGTTGCCATAGCGGACCTGCAGCACGGAGCCGGGGTTGTCGCTCGGCTGGCCGTTGGCTAGAGTGCTGATTGGGGGGTTGGTAGACTGCTAAACGGTTATGACCAGGCTCGAAGCTGCAAGGATGTGTATCCATACCATGATCGATGATTGGGAGGCTGCGTTACTTGTGGCCTTGTCTTCGTTCTTGCTTGTCTTTGCCCCCCTGACAAGCTGGACGCCTGCGCCATCTTAAATACTAGAGTCAGCTTGACGCGACTAAACCGCAAACGATGAAGTGGTATCCCATCAGAAGTAGGCAATAGTAACATCCCTTAATAGGATCCCTCTTATTGGCCTGTTTGCTCGAACAATGCATCTCGTCCCGCTGGCTGTTCTGGCCTCTATGCCACTTCCTATTTGGGAAGTACTACTGATATACAGTGCGCGTATTAAACCTTGACACTGTGCGATGGAGTACGGCTTTCCGCTTGTGGCGTTTGTTGCATGTCTTGTCTGACGTTCTGACCGCTTTCGTAAAAGGAAGAAATTAACAATAATATTACATAACCGAAGCCAGAGATATGGACTCTCGGCTCTCGGCATTTGCTTCGCAATCTATGTACTTCAGCTCTGCTGCTATGTTGCTTAGGTTCTCGGTGACTCCCCCCCAACGGAAAATTAAATGCCCAAGCATAATTAAGAGCCTGCCAACTATGATCTGCACTTCTATAATGTAAAATAGTCTGATGTCGTTGTATGCTCGGCCTCCTTTCGCAGGGTATTGCGGTTGATGACGACATCTACATCATTGTAGGAAAATTCCCGGTTCACCACTATCAAGGTGCGAAAGATTATTTCAAATGGATATTCTGGCAGGCGTGCTTCTCTCTCAAATTCGAATCCTCAGCCGCGTTGTTGCTCTTTCATGCGTAGTCGAGAGAGATCGAGAGCCCCAAGAGGCATTCTGGAAGATTGTTATTCCGTCAGAGATGGATCCAGCGCTTGGCGCTCGCACCAAAGTAATCCGTACAACCGAGGGGAATTTGTGCGATGCCGTGGCTGGATATGTCTTTTTGTGACAATTTCGCCGACTAAAACCATCACTTCCAACGTCCTGCCGCCAGGTTCGTCCGACATGGAACCCGATGAACGGACGCAGATGGGGAAGGCGTTCAAAAGCCCAGAGACGCGTCTGCATGCTCACGTCCGTGACCGCGATACACGTCAGTTACGGCTTGCCGTTGCTGCCGCGGAGCTCGAAATAGACCACTTTGATTGTGAATTCGGGACAGCTCTTAACGTAGCTGTACGATGCGACAACCATGCAGCTGTCGATATCTTTTTGGATGCTGGTGCTGATCTGTGGAAGGGGGGTACCGAGGCACCAACTTCACCAATCGTGACAGCTATTTCATCAGGCAATATTAATATATTTTCTCGCTTCTGCGAGAAACTTGCACAGGGAGGATCCTCCGTTCCCACAAGGCGCTGTAACTATATACTTACCCAGGCCGCCCGCTACGGAGATATCCCCATCCTCAAGGAAGTGTTGACCTGGCAAGCAGAATGGCTCACCGTCACTCAAATGTCTGCTCTTGGTGCAGCGGTCGCGAATTGGCAAGTAGAAGCAGCGAAACTGCTTCAGAATCGATTCCAGCCTACACGGCGCGATCTCACTTCGTTCCTTCGCTCCGCAGTTGGCTTCAAGTCGGATGTCGTGGACCTGTGCCCAGAATATGGCAGCGTTGACTATCTGCATCAGAAAGAGCTGGTTTCTTTCCTTATTAGCGTAAGTGCCGACCCTGACGACACTACTGACGGCCCAAGTCCTATTCTCGCGGCAGTCGAGTTCGTGGATCTGGTGGGAGCACTCCAAGCACTTCTTGAACAGGGAGCGCAGCCGAACACGCGTGGACGTGAAGGGGAGACGGCGCTCCATCGTCTAGGCGTTCCTATACGGTATAAGAAATACACGGGGCAATGTCAGTTACACGAAGCTGGCGTTCGGCTTCTACTGGCACATGGTGCGTGTGTGACAGACAAGGACAAAAGAGGTAATACACCATTGCACTTTGCCGCGTTTGGTTCAAACTCCCATATATTTAGCCTTTACCTGGACCATCTGCCCCCGCACTCTCAGGACCCTTTACTTTGGGTAGACATGAAAAATGATAAAGGGGAGACGCTACTACACTGGGCGGCTGCTGGCAAATCCCTCGATGTGATACGTTTTCTCATCGAGCGTGGTGCCAACGTTAACAGCCTCAGCGACAACTCATAGTCGCCTCTGATGTGTGCTCTCGCACCCACTCTCAAGTATGGCCGGTCCGGGGCGCACAATCAAAAAGCAGTGCAGGCCGCAAAGATTCTACTCCAACACGGCGCCGACCCGGGTGTCCAGACGAGCGAATTCTGGACACCTCTTCACTGTCTCGCACAGCACGCGGATGACGACGATCGGGGCGAAATCGCAGCAATGGCAAATCATCTCATCCAGAACGGCGGCCGCTCCGTAGCGACGCGTGCTACGCTGCCGCGAGGGAGCTCTTCTGGCGCAATCGGACTTTGGGGCTCACTCGTGCCAGAGACTATTCAGGCAGATGGCGATGATATAGTAGTGCGGCTCGGCATGCCGCTCCATTGGGCCGTGGCTCACGGTGCGGTTAGCGTAGCGGCAGCTTTGATCGCTTCCAATGCAGACTTGGAGATTACGGATGGGGACGGAAATCGACCGGCAGATTTGATTGACTCATCACCGCGTCTGAGGCGCCGACTAGCATGGCGTGACAAAATGACGCAACTTTTAGCTGGGAGCCAAGCGGCCATGATAAGAAGGCTGAGGGATACAGCTCTACATGAGGATTTGTAGCTTCATAGGTCAGGCATTGAAATTGTGGTAGTGTACAACTATATCATTCTTCACGTAGCTCTATGTGGCTAGCAGTGCCGCATACTGTTTGTGGTCGGCGTAGTAAGCTCATTATCTCTGGTTTGGATGATGACGGTCCGGCGGCGGCGGGTCCGGCGTCAAGTTGGACGGTCAAGTGCAGCTCAGCTACTGGGAGAACGAGGGGTGCAGCGGCCGCTGGTTTGGCTATGGCTACTCTTCCAAGGGCACCTGCCGCGGTCTGTGGACAAACGGGTGGAAGTTCAAGGCTATCCGCCTGCGCTGTGCCAAGCAAGAAGATGACTGCTCCTCCAAGGGCAGCTGCAAGTACGATGACGAGCCTAAGGAGTCGCTCTGCTAGCTGATGAACGGGGTAAATCTTTTGTAAAATAGATCATCTGTCATCCTTACAAAGTTGTGTAATTTTTAATGCGCCTATAGTATGAAATATGCATTAATTATGAGAGTATTAGTGAATGCGTGATCGAAATCCGGGAACTGCGGCCCCACCTTTGTCGATTGCCGGCAACCGGCCCGGCTCTAGCAACCCGGCCAAATCCCACGTCAGATCCTGCCGCGGCAGCATTACAGCAGCATTTCCATTTCTCCGATCTCAAAGCACCGGACCAGTTTACAGGCATGTATGACCTTTCAAATATTGTGAATTAATCAGTCATGCCTTGCTAGCATCTTCGTCGGCTTCAGACGAGTCTTAACTGGGAGCCTTGTCTTGCCGTTCAGGACAAGCTGAAAATGCAGCGCACAACTAATGAAAGACGGGTCCTCGGTAAGGCCGAGAGAGGAAAAGGAACAAGCTCGCCTGACTCGCTGCCTTGTGCGCCGGTGCGTTAACCTACGATCACAAAACCTAGCCATTGGTGTTAAAAAAAGCTACTGTATTACTATATTTTGCGCTCCTTATCATCTTGTCGTTACTAGCATATCCGGATATCTTGTGTAAATTCTAAAACCCATTCTAAAACATCAACACTCCTTGCCTTGAACCCATTTTCGTCCCACCCTCGACATGTCACCACCTGCAGATGCTTCAACCGGCAGTATCAGACATCATAGCTCCGGTGCGTGCGACTACATCTTCGATTTAAAAGATGGGAACCGAAACATCCACATCGTAATCCACATTTGCCTCATACGACTCGATGCGTTCCGTCTTGGTGTTAAATAGGGTGTCCCAGAAGCGCGTCTGCTTGCCGTAGTTGTGGCTCTTCTTCCAGCCGGTCCGGTGGTGCAGGTCGTGGTCCTCGATGGCGAGGTCCATGTTAAAGTACCGGAGCAGCGGCCCTGCCGTGAGCGCTGGGGAGCCGCGGACGCGCAGACCGCTGTGACCAAAAAGCTCGATGAAAATGACGTACTCGTAGCATATCCATGTCTCGTAGAAGCCCATGGGCAAGCCCATGGCCTTGCAGCTATAAAACGCCAACACAGGGATGACGACAATGTCAAACAGCTCCTGCCAGCCGTCGGCGTAGAGCGACAGCAGCGTGTTGGGGTGCTTGGTCAGGTGGTGGGTGCGGTGGAACTGCCAGAGCCAGGGCACGTCGTGCATGGCGCGGTGGTACCAGTAGAACCAAAAGTCGACCATGATCGGGTACATGGTGAGCTCGACCATGAGCCACGCCAGGGGCCAGCCGAGCAGCGACGCGGGCGTCTGGGTCGCGTCCCAGGCCAGGGCGATGGCCATGGTCGGCCGCAGCGACGAGGTGAGGATGAGCGAGGTGACGACCTGGCGCACGCGCACGTCGGGGATTCCGTCACGGGCGTGCTTGTCGCCGTCGAGGTAGCCGTAGATCTGTCCCAGCTTGCGAATGACCTGAATCTCCCGGATCGCCGTCACGTTAAGCCAGGCGCCGTAGAGGAGCAGCGCCCAGCCGAGAGTCAGGTTCTGGCCCGTGTAGCTGTAGTAGGCGTAATGCAGCAGCATGGGCACGGCGGCGTATGCGAGCACCCATCTGTGTATGTGGATGGCGGACGAGTTGGGGACCTTGTCCGTCTTGGCAAAGACCGGGATTGGCTTGTTGAGCTCTTCGGGGTGGACAGAGAGAATCTCAAAGAACCAGTGCCAAATGTTCCAGGTTTTCTTGTCGGCCGTCTGCCATGTCGCTTTGATGGAGTCCATGGGGTTGCGCTTGACGGCACTTGCCGTCACAGTCTCTGTGCTTGTCGACATGTTGGCGTTGTCGAGAGTAAGATGACAGTATATTTCGATGATTGTGTTGTGACGATGTGAGAAAGGTCCACAGTCTTTATAATGTTGGTTCACGCATAGACCCTTTTCAAGAAGATGTGTTCGGTAAGTGCAGCAACGGGCTGAATTGTCAACAGTAACACATGATAGTTAAATCAGTGGGGTTTCCGCCCTCACATGTCAAACCCCAGTCAGTGCCTGAAACTGGTTGGGGCAGAAGAGCCTTGCGGATCGAGTAATCAAAGACCTTTCCCCGCTTTGCAGCCGTGCGCTGATGAAGAGGCCACAAATCGATTCGCGTGTATTGACTTGTCCGAAGGTGTGGACGTCAGGAAACCGAGCCCATCGCGGGGGATTGCGTGGCCATTGAGTCACTATGTATTACGTGAGGGTGGCCAAAGTAACAGTTCCCCTCCTTTATTATTCCCCTCCCCCAACATTTCGCAAGCCTTTTCGACATGTGAGAGTGCTTGTGCTTGTGCTTGAACCAGCACGAAACGGTACGGCAGCCTATAGGTAAGTTGTCGCCAAAACCCATTTTGTATTGTTGTATCGGGGTTTACGCACTAGGCATACACCGAGAGCGTATGTAATTTTTTTTAGTATATCAATATTTCTGTTTAAGTGCTTAGAGCCAGCCAGCAAGGAACCAATAAGTAAGTAAGCCAGCCAGCCAGCTAGCGAGTAAGTAAGCTAGCGAGGAAGCCAGCGAGGAAGCCAGCTAGCGAGGAAGCCAGCCAGCCAGCCAGCCAGCCAGCGAGGAAGCCAGCAAGGAAGCCAGCCAGCCAGCCAGCAAGGAAGCTAGCGAGGAAGCCAGCCAGCTAGCGAGTAAGTAAGCCAGCGAGGAAGCCAGCCAGCAAGGAACCAATAAGTAAGCCAGCCAGCGAGGAAGTAGTAGGGCACTTATTATTAAAGAAGCTTACTAGCTACCTCCAAGTCAAGTCCTGCAGAGAGCAAAGACATGGCCATGAAATGTTTGCGCTGTACGTGTCTGATATACCAGAATAATTATGAAGCCTGCATTTCCATTTGAAAGAGTCGATAGTGTAGCGTCTGTGTGTACATGAGAGGCATATCTGCAGTTCCTTGCCATCATCGGGACACTAAATATCACCATGGAATGAAAGTCGAGTGTTGGGGCAAACGCGTACTGTACTGTCATACAACAACCAATACTTCTTTGTGTGGCTGCCATTGCGCTTGAGGCTTGAGGGGGCACAACTTGCGCCCTCCACAGTGGCTTGAGGGAGCCGCTTGCGCCTCCCTCCACGGCCCAGGGGATATTACCCTTATAATAAACGCTAGCAATCATGGCTGAACTGTCACCGCACCATTGGTCTATCATGGCCTATTCCGTTCCGCATCGCTGGTGCCGGTAAAGGTGGAGAGGCCAAGTTGCGTTCAGCCATGGTGATGTCTTGCCGTTGGGTTTCGGGCAGCCTCGATTCTCAAGCCATCTGTTATCTGAACCTGATTTTATTTCTTCCATCAGCTTTATTATAAATTTTGATGCTGGGATTTCGATCCAATGCTGGGCACGACATCGAGCAAGCCCCAAGGAAGCAGGGATGAGGGAGAGACAGATCGCCCTTGCAGGACGTTTCCGGCGGCACTCACCGAGACACCGGGTTGACCGTAGCCCAAACAGTCGTAAATAGCGCCGATCACATCGATTGATTTTCGCAAGGTTCCGCGGTAACATTGATCCAGTCCCAATCGCTGGCTGTTGGACCGGTTCGGACAAAAAATGAATGACAGTATCCCGAACCTTAATTGAGAGCGGACGCTCCGAAACCAACGGCTGCTATGACGCAGGTCACTCTCGCTCGCAGACTCGAAACTACATCATCCCGTCCTTGACCGCGTCATAAGCTCCGGGATTGAACTCTGTTTCTCCAACAAGAGCCCGTTGTTCAGCTGGTTATGGTCGCTGCTTGGGCCTTTAGGTGGGCGGAGAAGCTGCTTGGAGAACGGCGAAAGCCTTTGCTCCACGATTCGGGTTGGACGCTCCGTTGCGTTCTATGTGGGCGGGGTTGCCAATAATTGGAATCGAGCACCGCAGAAACTGAGGAAAGGATGGTATCGAAACATCAGTTCGCTGCTAGCGTTCAGTCGGAAGTTGCCAATGGACAGGATAACCAAGTTTGATGGACGCAGCCGCCGATGCTTTCAGCTTTAATGATGTGTGACGTGATGCAATTCCTTGGAACCGATGATGTAGAGGGCCAATCCAGGGACCATTGGCCAGTATATATATCCATCACTGTCGTGTTTACAATAGCCGTTCTATTCAAATCTGCATCATCACACTTTACAACAATCTACCACTCAAATCTCCATCAACAACCAAGAACTTGACAATGGACAAAGCTAAGAAGGCCGTTTCCAACTTCCTTTCCAAGGATGGCAAGCACGACACCACCGTCGACCAAGATGTGCGCGACCCCGTCGTCAAGGAGCAGGTCCGTCCTCAGAGACACGAAGAAGTCACCACCGCCATCGACCAGGAGATCCACCAAGATCACCATCAGACCGTTGTTCAGCCCCTGAACGTCCAGGAGACACTGTAAGCACACCAATGACCGACATCTCAGTGTTCGTCTGGCCACGCGACTAACAAGCGCCTCAGCCCCGAGAAGCACACACACAACCTCGCGGCCGTGGACAGCAAGCACGTCAACCACGCCAACGCGGCCGAGACCAAGGCCGCGCTGCAGCAAGACGCCTCGCAGTACACGAGCGAGCGCAACGTCGCCGCCACGGAGCACAGCAGCTCGGCCGGCGCGGCCGTGACGGGCCAGCGCACCCACCACCACGTCCACCACCACGTGCAGCCCGTGATCCAAAAGGAGACGATCCAGCCCGAGGTGGTGCACACGACGGTCCCCGTCCACGAGGTGCACCAGGCCGCGCCCATCCACCACGAGACCACGGTCCTGCCCGTCAAGAGCATGGACGAGTTTCTCGGCGGCGAGAAGCAGGCGAACCTCGGCGCGTCGGGCACCCGCCCCATTGCTGAGTTTGACGGCTGCCCGGGCCTAAAGGACAAGGCGCTGCAAAAGGAGCAGGAAGCCGCGGGCGGTAAGACTAGGTCGGCGCAGGATAAGACGCTGGCGAATGGTCTCTAGAGGAGGGGAGAAAACGATACACTAAGCTAGATTGTAATGACGGAATTATATTATAACCAACTTCTGCACTTTTACATCGTGATTCGCGTAATGGAATGGTTTTGAACTATGCATCTGAGCCCGGAATCTCTCCGTCGAATGCCCTTTACTTTGAGATGTTGTCTTAGTGAACGAATCCATTTCTTTCACCACCAAAAAACGCCCGTCTATTAACCACGATTCTCACTCTTGGGAACCTTCTGTCCGAGATAAGACCCCGTGAAGGTGAAGCATACGCAGTGATATCATCTCCTTTCAAAGTTTCACCCAATTTAGAACAGGTCACAACTCGCCCCCCCCCGCTCCTCCTTCGCCAGCCACCTCTCGGCACCGTTTCCTCCCGTGCTGGCGTTCGGGGATCTGCAGCACCCTTCCCAAAACACATCAAAGCCATCCATCATGAAGCCCACTGCCATCGTCTTCGCCGCCGCCGTCCTGGCCGCGCCCATCACCTTCCCCTCCTCCGGCAGCATCAACGACTTTACCAAGGCCCTGCAGGACGCCATCAACAAGTCCATCGAGGACATCCTCAAGCAGGTCGGCGGCGTCATCGGCCACCTGCCCGGCGTGGGCGGCACCCTGCCGCTCCCCACGACCCTTCCGGGCGGCATCACTCTGCCTACCACGCTCCCCGGTGGCATCACCCTTCCCACTACTCTGCCGGGAGGCATCACCTTGCCTACTACTCTCCCGGGCGGCATCACCCTGCCCGCCACCCTGCCCGGCGGCATCACTCTCCCCACCGGCTTCCCGTTTCCGCATGGCACGGTTCCCCATGGTGCCGGCCACCATTAAGCAAACACATGGTTTCGGAGCCTCGGGACGGAGTCCAATCACAGCACCGGGCTTCAAGTAACACGACACCGGGGAAATGGGAATGGAGCTGATCGCTGATCCGAGCAAGCGTCCATGTTACAACGATGAAATGATGCAATTGAAACATGAAACGGCTCTTCTTATTCACTGAATATATTCTCTTATGTATTGACTATTGTATTTTTCATGACATGACTTATTCACTTCAAATCTACTCGCGTAGTAAAGGTATTTCCTGCTCACTAGATAAGCATCTCTGCTTCACCAAATGTGCATGTTTCGGGTCAAGAATTATAGTGTCTATGCTAAACCAAGTCTTATTGCAATGTAACCATGTCGCGTGCTCATCGCAGCATCAACCCTTTGCCTCACAACGACACCTCATTCCATAGCCATAAACTAGCCCCCCCTCTACAAAAAGTGCACCATGACGGCCTCGCTCGCCTTGACCGGAATGTCCACGACGCCGCCCTCCACACGCAGCACGTCCCCGTCATCCCGCACGCCCTTGACCTCCCTGCCGCGGCTCTCCCACGTCCACTGGCTGCCCGCATACGTCACCGTCTTTGCGCGCGCGCTCGCGCCCTGCGGACTCGTGAGGTGCACGACGCGCACCTTTGCCACGCCCGGCGGCGCCTGCAGCCGCACGCGCTGCGCGTGGCGCACCGCGGCCCCCTGCGAGCGGCGGCACTTGCTCCAGTACTGCAGGTTCACGACGGCCAAGCGCTTCGGCGTGCCGGCCTCGTACGCCACGTACGCCGACACGTTGGGCTCGAGCGGCACGTTGGCCACCTGCACGGTGCCGGCGGCGCCGACAAAGTCAGCCACAAACGGCTGCGCGTAGTACCCCGCAAAGACCTGCGCCGACAGGTTGCCCGACGCGGCCGGCAGCCAGAGGTCAAAGGTGCCGCGCAAGTCCTGCTGCAGGTGGAAGCGGGAGATGCCCAGCGACAGCCCGTAGAGCTGCGCGTCCACCTGCCAGAGCGCGGCGCCGAGCGTCGCCTGGTAGCCAGGGTCGCGCGCCGCACCGCCGCTCAGCGCGCTGCTGCCCACCTCGGACAGCACGTACGGGATCTTGGTGGTGCGTTCGGCGAGGAACGCGAGGTCGTCGCGGAACACGTCCAGACGCGCCGCAATCGCGGCGTGATTCATGAGCCCCGTCGCGAGCGTGCCCGCGCGGCCACCGGACGTCTGGTAGAAGTGCCGCGCGAACGTCTTGACGGCGTGGTGGTTGTCCAGCCCCTGCTGCAGCACCGAGCGCAGACTCAGCGAGAACACGTCCTGTGGCGGGTCGGCCGGGTGCGAGGCCGTGTCGAGGGCCTGGAACATGCGCGTGCCGCGCGGCAGCCCGAGCGCCGCGGCCACGGCGTCGCAGTAGTTGAGAAAGTTGACCACGTACGTGCCATTGTCCTGGCGGCCCTGCCACGACGGCGGGCCGAAGCCCGCGGCCGGATAGCGATCCGGCTCGTGGCCCGGCTCGAAGCTGTGAATCCGGGCGAGCCCGACCCTTGCTGTGGCCGCCTTGGCCCAGCCCACGGCGTGCGACATGTCCGGGTCCGCCAGAGGCACCTGGATCACGTACTGCGCCGTGGGGAAGCTGGAAGCGACGACGTCCCAGTACGCCGGGCCAATGGTTGTGCCGCCGAGCGGCTGCGCGGTGCCCGCTTTGGCCCGCGGCAGGACGGGCGCTGCCTGGGTAGCGACGTAGCGCGCATAGTCGGCGGTGGCGCCGCCGAGACGGATGATGGGCTTGCCGCCGGTGCGGGCGTAGATGGCGTCGACCAGGTTCCGCGAGAAGACATTGGGGCTGCCGTCGTTGTTGAGCGCGTAGTTGATAAACGAGGCCTGCTCAAAGGCGAGCGCGGGAAAGTCGGGGTCAATGTAGCGCGACGGGTCGGGCTGGAGGCGGGGGATCTGCAGGGGCGAGGTCTCGTCGCGAGCCACGGCGGCGGCGCCGACGAGGCCGGCTAGGAAGAAGCCGTAGGCTAGCGCAAAAGTGTATCGGGACGCCATCGTTGCTTGTTGCTCGTGCTGGATGGAGGCACGCGACAGTGGACGCGAAAGAGGGGGAGGAACTCAGTCTTATTATGAGCTGTCTGGGGAAAGCGGCCCGCCCGTTCAGCCCTGCCTGCCCTGCCCTGCCATGTCAGTGTCTTGAAAAATTAGCAAATTCCTCCCCCGGGGTATTATTAGAAACAGTTCGTATTTGGGCCGGAGCAGGCTCTAAAGGGAGGTGTCGGGTTACATTCGGTGTACTAGGCTGACGGATCGGGGTCAGTCCGATTGGCCGCCGCGACTACCCGGGCTGGACACGGTGTTCATGTACTTGTCATGTACAAATTATTGTTTGCTGATTAACGAACGTCGGCCGGTGGCTGGGAGGACGGTAGGGACATGTCACGCTGCCGCTTGTTGTCAGTTCATGGTAGCTAGCCTTGCATCAATGACTGAGAAAGTACATACTGGTACATACAAGCACGCAGCCACAATTCCAGTCAGCTGCATGTCTCACGGCTGGGTGCCGCGCAATACATTCAAGTTCAATAACCCGGAACCGAGTACCACTGTATTAAATCCAACAGTACCAGGCATGGCCGTGGTTCTGCAATACTAAATGTTCAAAACAGAAAAAAAACTCCAAACCCAAGTAGTTCAAATGCCAAGCAAGGTCTTGGTCTAACATCAACATCATCGAGCAAAATAAAAAATTGCCCGAGCCCAAACGCCGTTTGCTTCGCTCATGTCCTTTGTACCAGCTTTGCTCTGCTGAAAACGCTCCTCTCCGCTGCACCATGTCGCTCTCACAAAATCTCCCTGAGCTTGTTCTTCTGCGCGGCCGACAGGCTAGATGGAAAGTTGACCTTGTACTTGATGATAAAGTCACCCCTTTCGCCAGGCTTTTTACTTATGGGCATTCCCAATCCAGGATAGCGGTCCTCGCTGCCAGGTTGTGTCGGCCCGGCCTTGTCGAGCGGGATCTGCCTGCCATCAATCGTCGACACGGTTCGTCTCCAGCCCGTCAGGGCCTCCTTGAGCTCGAGGGTAATTGTTTGAATCAGGTCGTTGTCTTCCCGCTTGTAGAGGATATGGGGTTTCTATCCGTCTTGTTAGCACAGGCACTACAGGACAAGGGGGCAATGCCATGTCTTACCTCTTCGACGACAAAATGCAAATCTTGACGGCCACCTTCCACTTGGTCCCCGACACCGCTAAACTTGATCTTGGAGCCCTTCTTGAGCCCGGCCTTGATGGGAACGTTGAGAATTTTGTCAGACTGAACGCGCTTGCCAGTGTCGTCAAAGGTCTTGCGCTTAATCTTCATCTTCTTCTCGACGCCATTGAAGAGCTCTTCTAGCGTGAGCGGCAGCGGCCGCTCAACGGTGGAGATGTCGGGCGTGCGCTCTCGCGGAGGACCGCCTCCGCTGGTTCTTGCTCGGTGGCGACCAGGGCGGCTCCCACCGCCAGGCGGCTGAAATCCATCAAAATCGTCGCCGCCCATACCCATGTTTTGGCGCATGAATTCCGCAAATACGTGGTCGGCGCTTGAGTGTGAGAAGTCAAAGCCTCGGGGACCGCCGCCGCCCGTCTGGAAGTGAAAGGTGCGTGCTCCGCCTCCGCCGCCCATACCGCCAAAGTCGAAGCCGGGGGGCACGCCACCTCCGGCGGGAAACGGACCTCCGGCGCCTTCAGGAGGAGCTTGACCGCCTCTCAGCAAGAATTCAAGACCATAGTCGTCGTATACCTTGCGCTTCTCGGGGTCGGAGAGGATCTCATAGGCCTGCGAGCATTCTTTGAACTTTTCGGATGAGGCGGGGTCGTCCTTATTCTTATCGGGGTGCCATTTGAGGGCAGCTTTCCTGTGGCAAAGTCAGCAAACTACACAGCAGGATGCGGGAGGACTGGCAATGGCCGGAAAGTGAAGCGGCGAGACCGGGCAGATCAGAGTTTGACCTCGAGCATTATTCGCTGCCCAAGGCGGAATCCTCTGAATGTGGCATCATTGCCCCGCAGCAGCTTCCTAGCGACGACTTGGACGTACCTGTAGGCTTTTTTTATCTCTTCCTGGGTCGCCCCAGGCTTGATGTTGAGGGAATCGTAGAGCTTTGTTTCCTTGACCATGGTGTTTGATGGCGAGGATGGGCGCTCCTTGACTGATGCAAGGGTGTTGTTGATTGGATCAAGGTCGGTCCTTTATATGCTAGCGATGGGATCAGGTGATGCGGGCAAGTGTTGTGGTGGTAACGGAGCCTAGGTAGCCGAGGGCAGTGAATGGCTTCTGCGTCATGAAAAGACAAAGCAGCGGGTGATGAAGTAGGCCAAAATCCAACTGAAACAGTGTGTATCGTTTCTTTGTAGCGAGGAATGAAGTATTTGGATGAGGAAGATGCAGGAGAGGGAAACTTGGCGGGCGATGAGGCGCAACAAGAGGTTGTAATAAATTCAGTGTGTAGAGGTACCACCTAGAGTACAGTGAGTGGGCATAATACTGCAGGAGGTACATATTAGCGGGCTGATAGCGGATAACGGGAGGGAGAGCCACTAACATGGCACCTGGAAGAGGACGCATATAAGCTTCTGATTGGCGCAAAGTACCTCTCGACTATGAAAAGCGGGACTCGAATCCTGCTGAGCATCCTTGTTGCCACTAGAAGCTTCGCTAAGCTGCCACAGCCACAGCCCAACTACGGGTACAGATTACAGGTTACAGCCAGTTGAATGATTTAGATTTACAGTGAGTGACAAGGCCCCTTGACGTAGCCGCTGGGGCTATGACGCACCAAATCGACATAAAGAAGGAACAAAGCAGAGGAAAACAAATATGCCGAGTATCGGGTGTGTCGCCTGCATACACAAGAAATAAATACACAACATTTCACCTCCTTTGTAGAAAGGTTCGTGTGCCCTCGATCAGCTTCCTGACCTTTATGACCCATGTGATGCCGTCGGGCGTCAGAGGTCGGTCATTCGATGAGCAACTTGCCAAGTGGTTGGCAAAGTCATTGGATAATAAATGCTTCAGTCGCAGTGAGGCTACACACTCTAGAGGCGCGTTGTCAAGTGACGTTGACTACGCCTTGTGCGTGATGATGCTGTCTCACCTCCGCCCAATACATCATCTCAACCGAAAATAAGAACATCACGAAAATAATAATAATGAGCCCTATTTCGCCGTCTTGACCGACAGCGACGGCAATCATCTCTGTCGGCATCAACAGCGCCCGAGTACGACCCGTTTGAAACACGGCTCTTGTAGCACTGGTACCAATTACACGAATGTAACTTACCCTCTATTAAGCCCCCTTTCAACCATCTTACTAAGAACTGCATACGAAACCAACTCATTCACCTTTCGAGCAACTGTACCAGGCTGAATCTAGCCAGTCCATTCTGCTACGTTGACGGCGGGGTATATTCCACTCCCACAACCCTACCTCGGCGCATCTCAATCACTGCCTCGACATTCTTCAGGCTAGACCTACGATGGGCAATCATCAGCATCGTACAGTCAGAAAAGTATTCCATCATAATGTCGTTGACAACCTTGTCTGTCGCTTCGTCAAGGCTACTCGTGGCCTCGTCAACTAGTACAAGCTTGCTCTTGGTGTCGCGCTGCTTTTGAATGGCGCGTGCAATGCACAGCAACTGAAGCTGTCCCTTGGAATAGCCAACATCGTCGACGATGGCATCCAGACCCCCCTTGCTGGCAAGTTGGGCCCATATGTCAAATTTTTTGAGAAGCTGCTCCAGCCCGACGTCCTGGAGCGCCACCTTCTCATCATCCGAGGCGGCCTTTTCCTTGACATCATTCATCGTGTCGGGTAGCAAGTTGTCCCGAATGGTCCCATCCAGGCATAACTGGTCCTGAGAAATAGTGACCAAGCGCGACCTTAACTCGTCTCGGGAAATAGACCCGATATTAATACCGTCAATCTCCACCACGCCTTCATAGTGAATAAAGCCGAGTAATGTCAACAGCAATGAGCTCTTACCACTACCGCTACGCCCAACGAGACCAACCCGTTGACCTGCCGCCACGGAAATGGAAATGTGGTCAAGCACAGGGTCCGCTTCCTCATCTTCTGGGTTGTAACGGGCAACCACATCTCGAAAGCACACATGACCGCTCCACGGCCAATGCTTCGGCAGTGGTTCCTGAGAGACTTGGAGCTCCTGGGGTGTGTTTTCGCGGAAGTCGAATAATCTTGACAAAGCTCCAGCGCTTATTTCAAGCCCTGTCCAAGCAACGATCATCGCTGCAAACGTCTTGCTTAAAGCCAGTAGACTCAGGAATGAAAGACCAACAGACGACGCAGAGGCTCCGTGGTTTATAAACAGGGAGAGGGACACAAGTAGAACAGCAAGAGATCCAGTGATGAGACCAAGTATCAGCACAAGCCACTGTTGAATCATCATCAAGACGTAGTATGGCCGTTGAGACTCTGCCAGAAGCTCCAGTCCCCGTTGGATACTCTGATCCACCCAGTTGAACGCTTGGATGTGAGACAAGCCGGCCGCTGTTTCTTGAAAATAGGTGTGGAGCGGTGCTTTCATCTCTAGATCGAGAATTCGAATCTGTCGAGAGGTGCGGAGGTAATACCGTTGTATAAAGTATACAGCAACGGTGAGGAATGGAAGACTGATGACGAGATAACTGGCACCGGATAGCACGACGCCAATCTGGAAGACAACGTAGGCCCCGGCATAAATTGTCCGGAGGAAAGAGGCAGGTAAGTTTCTAGACAGTAAAAGCATGTCCTGGTTGAAAAAGTTCAACAGATGCCCTGTTTTCGTCGCGCTGAGGAACCGCAGAGTGGCGCCCATTGTTCGTTCCACCAACATGGCATGCAGGCTGAGGGAGGCTCGCGGAGACAACCTCACATGCATCAGCCAATAGGTCATGCAACCAATGACACATGTTGCAAGAATGATAGCCAAATATCCGACGAAGTAGATTGAATTGTTGGCGTGAAGCTCCACCCACACTCGTACGTAGATGTCAGGAAGGGTCTCACCGGCCGAAAATAAAGAAACAAAGAGGCCGTAGAAAAGTGAGTTGGCCCGCCCGATTGGGTCAATAAATAGCCTGTACAAGCTCCAGCTGCCCGTCTGCTTCACCAATGCGGTCTCAGGGTATGTCGACGGCGAGACTGCGTCCAAAGATCTGCGAACGGCATCTTGCTCCTTGTTCTCTGCCGTCATTCCCACGTTCGTATTGCACGTGTTCAGGATAGCCATGATTTCGTTTCGAGCAGCCCGAGATTGAGGTTTTCCGCTGAAGCTGACGATGCCATTGGCACTGACGAGGAGAACATGGGTGCAGACGTCGATGCACTCGGGCAGATAGGTGACGAGAAGGATGGTGCTACCAGCCCGTTGCAGAATACCGCCATTGCCGCACAACTGGTGGAGAATGACTATCGCCGTCTCGCGATCGAGAGCGCTAAAGGCATCGTCCAGGATAGTGATTTTGGCCTCGGCGTATGCTGTTCTAGCTATTGCCACCCGCTGGCGTTGGCCGCCGCTTAAGTTTGAGCCGTTGACGCCGACAACATAGTCAACTCCATCGGGCAGCCAAGCAACGTCCTCTTCGAGAAAACAGGCTTGGATAACTTTCCGAAATTTGGCTTCATCATATTTCAAATGCCCAATAATGTTTTGACGAATTGTCGCATCTTGTAGCCAGACACTTTGTGCGCAGTAGCTGATACCATCGACATCAACTTGGACAGAACCGCCGAGGACTTGGCCGTGTCCTAGTATAGCTTCCACAATGGTGGATTTACCGGAACCAATTCGGCCAATAATTGGGGTAATAGATCCGTGTGGAAGCTCAAAGTTGGCTCCTCGAATAATTGGCTCCGTCATGCCATGCTTGGCAAGATCGGCAGAATTGAAGCGAACATGGCCATTCAAGGGCATGCTTGAGGAGGTAGGTGTACCAGAAGAGTTCACTTTTACTCTCGAGTCCACTCTCTCCGAGGTGCCTAGAAAGTCCTCAATGCGTAGAAAGCAACTGTTCATGCTGGTTACCAACGGGTATATATTCAACGAGTTGGCAAGGGGGGTTTGGATCAACGAAACAACCGTCAGTGTTGGAAACACTTTGCTGGCAAGCATGTGCCCTTGAAACGCAGGCCCGAATAATGAAGCAATAATGACGATTGCAGGTGTCATCAAATCTGCCATCAACACAGGACCAGCTGCGAGCGCCTCAAAGAGACGATATTTTCTCGAAACAGCAATTTCATCAGCTCGAAGGGTCTGCAAATGGGTAGATATCGGTGGACCAAGCCCAATCATCTTGATTGTCGTTAATTGCGGTAGAATGCGTGCAGTCTTGGCTACGCGGTGTTGGACGCTCTTGTTCCAGGCTGCAAAATGTGTTGCCATCTTTCGGCCAAGAATATAGGTCGCAACGCTGGTGACAGCCACAGGCGCAAAGACAGCTAGAGCAGCAATATCGATGAATGTCGAGAGAACAAAAATGCCGAGACTCATTTCAACGATGCTAAAGGGAATATCGACAAAGTTGGGGACGCCTGCTGCTATACCGTCGATATCGGCAGTCATGAGAGTGACGGCAGCCACATTTCTGGCTTCACTCTCGCGCAGACGATGGACTTTATGGAACATCAATGCCACAAGGGCGCCTCGTATACGTGCGACGTATCGATTCATCAGATAGCCAAATGTTGACTGGGCTATCGGAAGGCCTAGGAAGACAAAAATGGTGGCTCCGACCAACCCGATTCTCTTGCCAGTTGCGTATGATCCAGTATCTGCGGTGCCGAGCATGACAATGACTTTCTGGAGAAGAAAAGGCTGTGCCAGTCTGAGTGCGGTCATGGACAAGCGCGCGCTGATCATTGGCAATAGATGTTTCTTCCAGGTCCTGAGGGTAGCTCTAAATAGGCCACGAGAGCCGGTGGAATGCGTGGTTTGGCGAGGGCGCCAGAAGCTTCGCAGCTGTTTGTAGAGTACATCGGGCGCCATCTCAGGATCCATCTTATCCAAATCCTCTAGCATTAGCTGCTTATAAAAGCCCGTTGAGAATACCGGTCGTAAATAGAGAAAAAGCATTCTGCTCATGGCGCCGCTCGTTGCCTCGAGCCCAACATTGTCGCGGAGACCTGGGTTCGTGATGGCCGATCTTTTCGACACGTCTTGGAGACAGAGCAAGAGGATTTCTAGGGTGGCGGCAGCCGCTTCCAACCCACCCAGAGAGTCGCGACCTGAGCGCAAGAAGAATGACCGGCTTTTGGTGATGTCGGCGAGGCCAACCAGGAAGAGATACATGGACAGGGGGCCTGACGAGCGAATAGTGTGAAGATGCTCCGCATAGACCAAGCACCCGGCACAGAAAGCAGCGACCAAATCGACGGCGCCCGCGGGTGTCGTGGTATCTGTATAATACTCGGGTTGGCGGCGGATGAGCACCAGCACGGCTGTTTTGATAGCAACCAAGCAAGTTGAGACGAACTAGAAGCTTTGGATCAGCGATTGATCCAAGCGGGTATGATTCGGAAGGGGAGACCGAACCAGCTTCACCCAGAGCAAAGGGCCCGATGAAACGCAACGAGGTTGCCAAAAGCAATGGTGGCAAATGAAGAATGGAGAAATGACAGCAAAAGCGGAAGAGAGTGAGATGCTCAGCACCATTTCCTCGAATTTCAGCGTGAAATCGAACAACGACCCAACCCGAGCCCAGAAGGCTTCGTCCGCGGGCAACGTCGAGGTCATGGTTGGATCCTCTGCGGTCACAGCGCGGACTTTGCGAGGAGCAGCGATGTATTTGCGAAATGGGACAGAGCTGATTTTTCTTGGGACGGCGCCGACCACGTCGTCTTTGTCGACAAGTGAGATGTTGTGCGGTCTCAAGGTCCTCGCCAAGTTGCACAGGAAAAGCTGCGCACCTATCTGTCACAGCGGGGGACAAGGCTGGGAGGCGTTTCCCTGCTATAATTCCCAGGAAGTTGAATAAGGTGGTAATCTTGTTGGCTGGCGAGGAGACAGGGTTACAATCCACAATCTGCAGTGCAGAGCTGCAGGCAGCATGTACGTCCAGGTAAGAGGGAATGGCGCTGCTACTACTGCAAGGTGATGAGACTTGACCTCCGCATCCGCTTTCATGGGAAGCTTCCAAAAATAGTCATCGGGAATCATCGGCTGGCAAGACTCGGTTTTGTACAGCGAACCCCCTCCCCGTTTTGACGGCTACCTACTCACATGTGACGCTCGTTCTGTGCAGGATGGAATGTGTTTGCATGTTTCATACTTGGAGGATGGCACTGCGGCGGCCACTCGTGCCCGCCTGCATTGCATCTGCCTGCTGCGCTTCATTCTACTCATCTAGACGAGAGGAGACACTCGAAAGAACAAACGCGAGTCATCTGTTCCCTTCCCTCCCATATATGTTGGCCCTTTTTCCGTATATGTCGTAAATACAGTGTCCAAGCATGTCATGACGAGCCCATCAACGCTGAGCCTGCCCATCGTACGCCGTCCCAGTTGCAATTCCTTTCAGAGCATTTATCTTGTTGATGGCTGCATTGATGTCAGCGGCGGCCTTTGACGAATGCGCACTATTGCAATAATTACCTGGGGCACCGTGGGCTAACTGGACGAAGAGGAATACACCCAGCAAGACGCGGCCCGATAGTAGAAGCATATTGAAGAATGGTTGATGAAGAAGTAGGGTTGGATGATTCCAAGAGCTGATGGCAGTAGTGCGGTATAATAATAATGTGGTCATGGACTAATCAGTGTAGAAATCAGTTTCTTTTGTACAATTGGAGCCTACTGGTATATGGACAGCCAACCCATGTCATGTCGCAGGGTGGGTGGGAGGTGACATGCCAGTATTACTGCCTGCATCGTGGCGTTAGGCCCTAGCCGCTCGGGGGCAATCAGCTGCTATCTTTCTTGGAACTTTTGCACGACTGCTTCCGGGCGGAGGGGCGTCTTTCGTACCAGATTAAAGCCTAATAAGCGAGCTCAAGCATGATTTCGGCAGCGTTCCAGAGGCAACTAGCTTAACATCGCCCATCTTCGAAACTAGATCCGGCCAAGTAGTTTGTACGCTTGTCCCTTTTTATTCCCAGGCATTGCCAGCCGGGCCGCGGCGCATGTACTATCGAAAAGGTGTTCTGTTGGTCTGTCAACTTTCGCATCTACCACGACAGGCACATGCCACACCGCAAGTGCAATATATATGTAGGTAACTAGCCTTTGGAGAGAATTGCGCCACTCCGCCCGATCCCTCGGTCCGCCGTAGATTACGAATAAGAAACGCAGATGTAGACATGTCCACTGTACTGACAGTCAAGCGAGACATAACGGCATCCGCTTGCCGGTTCACTGCGCCATTTAATACTCGTGCAGGAGTACGGACTACCAAAAACAGATTGCCAAGCACGCAGCCTGTTCCGCCCCCGCCTTCTTGCTTCAATACTTACAACAGCTGCTAATTCTATTCCGTCAAGGCGAGTAAGCGAGCTGGCCACATCCGCCCAACATAATTGTCAAACGTCCCCCAATATTCGTCAAATAAATAGTCGGTTACTCATAGCTGGACGCCGATACCGCAACAACTCCCACCAAAAATAGGTGTGAGTTGCCGGGCTCAGAATCCCAACCTCAGTAGTCCACTTACACGCACGACCACAAACGTCAAGGAATCATATTAAATTCCAGGAAACTAAGAAAATTATACAGGTTACTGCAGGGCCGTCCATGATAAAATCGGTTGATTCTATCCGGTCGGCAGCTGCGAAGAGGGTCTCAAGTATGCTTGCTAACTATGCGTGTCCCAATCGCCAATGCCCTCGGCCTCGACAGGGCCTTCCTCGCCTTGCTCAAAGGCCCCGTGGCCACCCGCATTGGCTACTAAAGCATCACGTCAACGGCATTGCCTTTTTATGCCCAAACTCTCACATAATCCAATACAAAACATTCAATAGTTCATACAGCTTCTATCGGTGAAATAAAATAGTGTGCTGGTCTTGAGGGACGGCCCCCGCCGCTGGTACCTTCCACTGAAGTCTACAGCTTTCCCAAACGAATATTGATGGTTTAATGCGATACTGAAATAGCCCATTCGGAGACCACATTACCGCAATGGTGCCGGTGCCCACGACTATCAACTATCTAGTGTCTTCGTCGCTGTCGTCTAAGTCTCCTTCTCTAGGGTGGGCATATCAAGTTCCATAACGTTATCTGATGTCGGTAGCCGCTCCGTAGATTCTCGCACCGTCGCTGGTACAGGTACTCCCTGCGGCGGGACCTGCTCCATCTCCTGTGTAGGTACGGGCATCTTCCCCCCATTTACCGGTTTAAAATCGATATCAGCTGCTGTCCCCTCATCCGTTTTAGTGTTTGCGGGTTCGGGATAGTGCGACAGGGCAGCCCTCAGCCTCGAGAGGCTATCGGTATCAGCACCCGCATCATGCGTCTGATACTCGTCTTTTTGGAAGTTCAAGTCGGCTGCTTGTTCTTCAAAGGAGTTATCAAAGGCATTGGCCCCATCACTACCCAGGGACGCATGATTGCTGTCGAGCGAGTCGATGCTGTCCGATCGGTGCTTTCGCTTCGAGGGCGAAATAGGATCGAAAAGCGCCGGTTGTCCAATATCCCGCTCATTGGTGCGTTCAATGTTGAGTTCGCTGCGAAAAGCCTTGTTGTCCGCCTTGATAAAGCGTTCTAATGGTAGACTGAGCGGATCCTTGGAAGTATTGAGGGCGTCTTCAGTGGCATAGACAAGAAGTGGCGTTTTCGATTCTTGCCAAACTTCTCTGTGAACGCGCTCAATTTCAATTTTCTGGCCAGAATTTAGTACACTATGAGCAAAAAAAGACGGCGGATCATACCTCGACTTTGACCGGGTGTTCCTCGCCCTGAGCATACGCCAGACGCCACCATTGATCTGCTTTCTTCGGCACGTCGCCCAAATCAATCAAGTCTGTTTGTTTCCGCTGACAAACATAAATGACATCTGTTTCGGTTGCAACACCCCGGAGCAGATACCTCTTGCAGGTCATTGGTTGTGGCCGGCCTGGCTTGTCCGGGTCCGTTAGTAGCCGACCAAGGCTCCTTTGCTTGGCCTTGAGCCTGGTAAGCTCTGAATTTAGACCTGGGTAGTGTTAGCTGATAACCTTCTTTCCAGCAGTCGTACAATATACCGTCTATCGCCTTGTTCATGTCTGCCAGCACCCTTTCCGTGAGGGCGAGAACGTCGCCCACTTTGTCCAAGGCTTGCTGCTGGGTTTCCGAGAGAGACCTAGGAGCGTCATGGTAGTCAGGGAATGTATTAGTATCGAAGCCAGATTGCTCCATGCTGGTGAAGTGGCCGGCGCTCTGTAGATACTTCTCCAACACTTTCCATTGCTCGGTAGCTTTTTCCATCTTGACTTTCTTACTATAAGAAAGCTGATTGAAATCATCTCGCCATTCGTGCAATTTTTGCTCCTCGCGGCCGATATTCATCATCGCGAGCTTTGTCTCACACCAGGCTTTTTGGATCCGATGCGCCTCACGTTTGCGGTGTGCGAGCCACCTTTCGGGGTAAAGTTCAGTTGGTATATCCAAACAGTCTTCGGGTCCCTCGCCGCCAAATTTGAGGGCTAGTACTTCACCCATATTTTTAAAAAGAGCCATTTTAGAGTCCTCCGTCAGCTCATTCCATGAAAGAACATCACTCCATAGAAGGTGGTCAAGCGCTTCGTAGAGTGTCTTAATATTATCGTAGTCGCCCTTTAGATGCTCAATTTCGAGCAACCCGAATCTCACGTCGTCGTCGCCGAGATCGTCACCATGTATAAGAGCTAGTGAGGCAACTTGGGTGAGGGGGTGCACAAGGTCTCCATTTCTTGAACCCAAATGTTCATAGAATTGCTTCTCTAGTCCGGCCGCGGGATAGGGAATCATTTCCGCCAAGGCGCTGGTAGTGCCGTAACTTCGCTCAGTAGAGTCAAGAAAAGCCATCAGACGGTGTATCTCAGCTTCAAGTCCTGGTTTCACATCATCATCGGATGCTGATTCCGAATCGCTCTCGGGCGCTTGCACATGTACGGACTGTGGAGGCGTAAGGCTTTTGCCTTGCCACCACTGAGTATCATATCCGTAGGCCTCGGCTGGGGCTCCGCATCGAAGAAAAATATTCCGTGCTAGAGGAATCTCGTGTAGAATAGTCAGAAGACCGCCGAGCCTATGATTTCCGACGGTGTTGGGGTGTTGCACTAGAAAGGCTGGTGCATCGGTCTTCCGCTGTCGATCCGAAGGAGGTAATGCATTCGAAGACATACTAGCCGAGGTAACAGGGACTACTGCCCACTCATTAGGGTCGTACACCGTTGGAAAGTATGCTGTGGAGGTGACATTTCTCAGGACTCCCGATTCCTGCCCGGGGGCGGCAATCCCGGCTTCCTGCGCAGATTCGCGCAAAGCTCGCTCCATGTCTTGACCTAGCTGGTCTGTGTCCGACTGGCCAACGAATCCTAACACATTATTAGCGTTGAATGGGTCATAGCGCCAAGATGCGTACGGGGAGCATCAGCGGCTGTCAAATCTACCAGCCGTCCCAAAGGGGATTTGGTATTGGATCGGGAGGGTGGCCTGGAAGGTGCCCCTAAGCCGAATCTATCAGGCGGCGGGGTAAATCCTTGTATAACGTCGCTTTCGTGCATTGAGCTATCCATCGATTCGATATAAAATGAAGGGTTCGGATTCGGTTCCTCAAGGTGGAAAGCTGTTGACAGGTCAGCATGTGGGCGACCGGGCATCTCGTCTTGACTTACAGGAGCCAGCATTGTTGTCATGGTCGCCATTCCCGTCTGCAATAAACATACCATCATCCCATACCATCGTAAAACGTTGTCGGAACTGTTGGTCGTAGGCTACGTTAGCTCGAAGACGAGACCAGTCCAACAGGGCAAACGGACCTCGTCGGGATTATCAAAGTAGCTCATGACCACGGCTTCGGCATTTCGGCCGTTATTCTAGCTTGCGCGTTAATATCAACCCGAGGAGGATACCATGGCTGTGGAGAGTTTATACCTTGAGCGCCTGAATAACCATGCCCCGGTCGTCTAGGCGGTCGAGGCCTGCAAAGTCGATGACTTGCGAGATCTCATCTTCTGTCGGCTCCATCGAGGCCATGTTGTATTTATATGCTCGATGGTGCGAGCATGGGGCGAACCTGATAACGGGGTCAGACGATGGGCGCGTAGGAAACGTGGACAGCTGTCGCGATTGCTGCCACAGGCATTCAGGTCTTGCGTCTTGTCGTTGTCAGGGTGCATCGACTAGCAACAGTATCGGAGCACAGCAAGTTGCCGATCGACGGAGCAAGGGCGGAGGGGAGCAAAATGAATTTGGTGATTCATGCGCAGCAGGATGGCGACGTTGACACCACGCCAGCCACGATGCAAGGTTCTGGGTTGGCAGCGGAACGGCGATGGAGAGCTCGGGAGGGCTGACGTCGCTTGCAACTCGCAACTCAGCCAAGCGCCACCGCAGGAACGGCTGTCAGGCTGCTGTGCGGCGGTAAGCTGGTGGGCTGACCCCTACAACAATGGTAACCAGTACCAGGTAAGCCAGGTGGGTAACATGGCGGCTGCTGTTGCCCGCTGTAACAACTTGTCCCGTTTTGAATGGTACAACCAGTAATTTGGAAGACGAGTTACGCAGCACAATTTGCTAAAATAATAAAATTTGCCTCGTAAATTCCATACCTCCTCTTCTCTCATCAATGATACCCATACATCCTGCACCAAGGCGGTGAATAATTTTTTAAAGATGTATATTGCAATTCGGGCTGTCTACATCCTTAGATGCATCAAAACAAGAATTGATGCCAGGTGTATCTAAAATGCTATGAAAATCCAGTAATGCGTCCCAGAAAATAAAAAAAATGACGCCAGTAGAGCTCGCTGTATCGAACCCCGTGTGCTGAATACTCCCACGCTAAAACGCCTATGAACCTAGTTTCATGGCTGTGATGCCATGACTGACGCAGCTTGCCACACCGCAGTCGAGCACGTTATTCTTTGTCGTCTTCTTTGTCGTCTTTGTCGTCTTCTTCGTCGTCTTCTTCTTCCTCGAAGTCGTCCATGTTGCTATCGCTGCCACCAAAGTCGTCCTCCTCCTCGGAGGGGTTCCAAAAGTCGTCATCGTCCTCGACAATTTTTTGCGGCACCGGCGCAAGATCAGCTGTGGTTGGCATCCTGACGCCCTCCGGGACGTCAACAATCGATCGAGAGACGACCTCCTTGGCCAGGGTATCGTACTTTGCTCGCTCGTCACGGTAGAGCACGCTCGCATCGACGTTGGCGGGCGAGTTGATTTCGGGATCGTCCATGAGAAGCAGGACGGAGCGCAGGACAGACTCTACACCGTGCAGGACGTTCCATCGCTCATTGGCCATTTCACCAGATTGTTCATCATCGCCCGGCTTATGGAGAATGGATATACAAAGGTTGCCATCAGGGTACACATTTGGGTGTGTGATGCCCTTGGTCAGGAAACGGAACGTGGGCGGTTGGTATGGGTAATCGTGAGGGAATCGCATCTCGCACTGTGGGACGTCTTGTTAGTAGTCAACGGGATGAGTTGTGACAGACTGCCCGCAGCGATTACCTTGAGGTATGCACCGTAGAAGACGCTGTCGGGATTGACAACCCACAGGCCGACACGCCACTTAAACAGGTTCTGCTCGTCCATCTGCAGTGCAGTTAGCATCTTGTAGTACCGCATGCATAGACTGAGCTTGGAAGCAGTCCACCCACGTCGATCGTCAGCCATTTCTCCTTCTGGAGCGGGTTGAGCTCCTGCATGAGCCGCTTTTGAGCCATCGCGTGGTATCAGGACAGCGGGGTGCACTGGGCTTGTGTTGGAAGGTATATCGAAACAAGCCCGGTCTCTTGTCGTAACGGGCCAAGAAGCAGGACTCGCCGAGAAGTAGAAAGACCAGCCACGGCCTGACCGGAGGATTTTGTGCTGGGTTGTTGGCGGAGAGGAGTAGGTCTGGTAGTTGGTTGGTGGTGGTCAAGGTTGGGTTGCGAAGGCGGTGTTGAGCGGTAGGCCGCAAGCGTCGTTGGGAGAGCGCGCAGCAGTAAAGCAAGCGGGATGGTGGGTAGGTGCACTGAGGTGGCGCTGTAAGCAATGCAGGGGATATGATAATGATAGATAGAAGCGAAAGGAAAAGCGAACTTTTCCTAGATGAAGGGAGTTGATTGACGTTTGTCAGGCAGAAAAAGACGACAAAGGACATGACTCTTCATGGAGGCCGGCGGGCCAACGCGACTGGTCGAGTGACGGCATCAGATCAGGTGCCGGCCAATGCTGAGAGAGCTTTCTGCCATTTGAGCCCCTTGAGCCTGCCAACCCTTTTTCCCCCCAAGTACCTAGGTATGTTATGTACCTACTCACATATTTATCTGATCTGAAAGGTACATGACGGCATACGAACACAACTTCAGCGCTTTTCAGTATTGGCTTCGCATGATGACCAGAGGTACCTATGTACTAACATGTACCTAGGTACCTACCTACCTACATTACCTAGGAACCTGCTCCGCCGCCAATTCTCCGCCATCACCCCTGTTTGCCAGACTACGGACACCAACAGATTCATTGGCCTTGCCCTGCAACATACGAAACACAGATCCAAATCACACGTGCACATACGCGGGAGGTAAAAGAACCCCATTATCCATCTTCATGACAACGGACGAGAAAGGGACCAGGCCACGTTGTCGCGCGCTGGTCTGCCTTCTCGCACCGTGCTGCTTCGTCAAACACATTGGCATAACTCTAACGGCGCAGTCACTGCATATGTTGGATCATTTCAATCGATACTCTGGCGTCTTTATTATAAACCCCAGTCTTGGCACCGAAACACAAGGGTCGGTATCACAGTTATACAAACCACTCATCGCCTTATAATTCCGTCCTCCTATGCTGCAGTGGGAAGGCTTATCGACAACCCTCGTCAAGCCGTCTCGCCCAATGCCTTGCCTTCCGGACCCTCTATCATCAATTCATAGTGGATGCTCATAACACGAATGTCCAAGATTGCTTGACAAGAGGGGCTGCCCCAGACCAGCGCCGACGCTAGGTAATGGTTAGCCTCCCTCGTCACTCTAATACTGGGCAGACTCGACTCGTGTGAGAACCGTTTCAGGGCATGCCAACGTAACCTCATAGAAGCTGCATAGCATGGCGTATGCTTGGCGTAGCAACCATCAATAGTTCCAATTGCATGAAATGCAGGCCAGGTCGCCCCTTTTCGCCTGTTTCTCACCAACCGAGGTCTCATTGACTCCGCCGCGATATGCTTCTCGTTAAGCCCACGCTTGATGCAAGATCGAAACAGATCCTGTACCCCAGCTTTGCGCGACGGACTGCTTTAGTGGCATGACACTTCACCAAATCCAAGAGCTCGGGGGGCTTTCCACTTGTCATCCATCCCGTCTCAGCAAGGCACTATCCGTTCTGCGCCGCACGCAAAACTTCCCCCAATGCATTAACGAAGCGGCATGGCGCCTTTGGCCAACGTTCTTTGGCTCACCAAAATGTGGCGTTGACCCTGAGGCCCTGGGCCTGCGCTACAGCTGCAGGCATGCAAGCCCTGCCAGAGTACCAGTTACGCTCTTGGTGGGTGGCAAGGAGTGCCAGCCTGCGCAGCCCATTTATACAATATAATCCCCTTATCTTCCCGACTAGGGCTCGGAGAATAAATAACTGATACGTTCATGTGAAAATCGTCTCTTTTCGACGACGGCCATGTCCTCTTTCTCTCATTCACACCAGACGACGAAGCCTACCTCTCTTTGTCGCTGTCCGACAATCCAACACTATGGCTGGCAGCGACCCAAGCAGGTCGCCGTCCAAGGCCGGCATTACCTTTACTAGAGATTTTGAGATTGTCGAAATGAGTAGCTTGTCTACTGCCGACAAGGACAAAGACCACCCCCCCTTGAACACGGCATCATACGCCGTTTCCACTGCTCCTCGACCGGTTCGATACGCCAACCAGAAAGCCGCAGGTCAGAGATGGGTGGACAGCTTCAAGCCACTTGAGGGCTCCTCCGAAGTCATCAAGGATGGATACTACGTCACCGAGGGTATGGAAGAGATGCCCCGCGAACCGCAACGCTTCTACGATCTACAAGCGGCCAACGCGCGAACCGCCAACTCGGCGCTGGTCCGCGGCTTAAAAGGCCGTCACCTGCAAATGATTGCAATCGGCGGCTCCATTGGTACGAGACAGAATTTGTTTCGCTTTCTTGTTCGCTCTGCCGTATGCTAATCCTGCTCCAGGAACTGGTCTTTTCGTCGCCTCTGGAGGTGACCTGGCGCAAAGCGGCCCAGCGTCGTTGCTCACCGCGTACGCGCTCACGGGTGCCATGCAGTTCTGTACTATGCAAAGCTTGGCTGAACTGGCAGTTGTATTTCCCATTTCAGGATCCTTCTCTGCATTTTCTACCAGATTTCTTGATCCATCCTGGGGCTTTGCTATGGGCTGGAAGTGAGTACAACAATCTCCATGGTGTCACTTGACTTGCTAACATTTGGCAACCCAGCTATGCGTTGCAGTGGTTAGTTGCCTTGCCATTGGAAGTCATTGCTGGCGCCTTGACAGTCGAATACTGGAACTCTAGCCTTAGCAAGGCCATTTTTGTTACTATTTTCCTGTTTATGATTGGTGTTATCAACCTATTCGGCATCCGCGGCTATGGTGAGGCCGAATTCCTCTTCTCCACGGTCAAGGTCACTGCCATTGCTGCCTTCATGTTAGTTCCTCATGGCGTGATGATGGAGTACAGCTAACGGTATTCTAGTCTGCTCGGTATTGTCGTCAACATTGGAGGCACTCCTCACAGCGGCTACATTGGTGGTACATACTGGCAAAATCCTGGCGCGACGAAGAATGGATTCAAGGGATTCTGCAATGTCCTTGTATCCGCTGCTTTTGCCTTTTCTGGTACCGAGCTGGTTGGCCTTGCGGCGGCTGAAACCGCCAACCCACGCAAATCCATCCCAACGGCCATTCGACAGGTGTTCTGGCGCATCGCCCTCTTCTACCTTGTGGCCCTGCTCCTGGTGACACTTCTGGTCCCCCACAACGAACCGCGCCTGCTTGGGGCCAAGTCGTCCGTCGACGCCTCCGCTAGTCCATTCGTCATTGCCATTGAGAGCATGGGCGAGACGATTCTGCCGAGTATCATGAACGCCGTCATCCTCCTTGCCGTCATCTCCGTCGGCAACTCGGCCGTCTTTGGCTCTTCGCGCACCCTCGCCGCGCTCGCCGAGCAGTCCCACGCCCCTAAGCTTCTCGCCTACATTGATCGCAAGGGGCGGCCGCTCGTCTCCGTGCTCATCACGCTTGCCGCTGGTCTGCTCGCGTACCTCGTCGACATTAAGCAGCAGAGCGAAATCTTTGACTGGCTTATCGCCATCTGCGGCCTCTCTAGCCTCTTCACCTGGAGTAGCATCTGCCTCTGCCATATTCGCTTCCGCGGTGCCTGGAAGGCCGCCGGCTACACGCCCGCTCAGCTGCCCTTTCAGTCTCAGGCCGGCCTCATCGGCTCGTACGCCGCCCTCGTCGCTAACGTGCTCGTCATAGCATCGCAGTTTTGGACGGCCGTCTCGCCGCTCGGCGGCCGCGCCGACACGTCCTCTATCGGCATCGCCAAGAACTTTTTCCTCAAGCTGCTTGCCGTGCCCATTGTCTTGGTCTTTTACTTTGGCCACAAGCTTTGGTTCAAGACGCACATTTTGCGTACCAAGGCAATGGATATTGATACAGGGCGGAGCTTTACCCGCGCGCAGTCGATTCACACTGATGACCCCAGCCTGAATAGGAAGTGGCCATTCTGGAAACGCGTGTACCGATCACTGTGCTGATATGTCGCCGTCGTCTGTTCTTTTTTGGTTGATGATTGGGGATATCCCACGGGGTTTGACATCTTTAGCGTCCTCTGCAGCTTTTAAACACGTGTGTATTTAGTACCATCTGAAATGGAGAAGAAATCGCAATTCATAAATCATGTCAGCACAGCCACCGTCTACCTATATATCATCAAATAGTCGTTTGCAAAATCATCAACATTGACGTCCTACGCCAAAACAAAAATCCCACCCCTCACGCCGCCAAATCGTAGTAGAGACAAGTGCCCGTCCTAAAATTATACAAAAACGAGTGCCGCGTCCCGTCCTTGCGGTCATACGTAAACTTCCACGCGTCTAACTGGTCGTGAATCTCGCGCACATACTTCTTCTCCGTCGTCGTCACGCCGTGGTCGACGCGGCGCCAGCTCTCCGGGTCCGACAGCCGCGTGCCGCCAATCAACGTCATGACCTGCTCCGACGTCTCGACCGCGAGGATGGGCCCGTCAAGGAAGGACGTCACCAGGGCGGCAGCAGTGACTTGGGCTTGCTCGACGACGGTGCGTCGGTTAAACTTTTTGCTGCGCGTCTGCGCGACGAGCACCTTGACGTCTTGCTCGCGTTCTCGTTCGGCGGCGGCCGAGGGTGTCTCGCCTTGGACGGCGGCGATGCTCTTGCGGTTGCTGCTGCTACTGCCTTTGATATCGCGCTTATGTAGCTCGGTGCGCAGCCAAGCGGTCAGTTGCGTAGCGGGAATGTCGATGTCGGCCACATCCTTACGCAAAAGCGACTTGATCTTGAGCATAGACTCGGGTTTAAGGATAATGATCCATGAGTAGTTATCATCTCTGTGCTTTTGCAGCAAGTCTTCTGGAGAGCGCGAGTCTCTGGCAAGCTCGGCACTGATGTCTAGCGCCCACAAGGTCTGCAGTAGCTCAACGCCAGAGGATCGCTGCATGGCCGGGTCAAAGCTTGCGACGAGGATATCGCAGCGCTTGGGATTGGCCAGGCTGTTTGGGTCGTCGTCCGCTTTCTTGAGAAACGCTTTGCTACCTGCCTTAGGAGTGCGAGCGAGGCGCTCCCAGGCGATGCTGAAGCCGACAGCGTGACGCTCGTCAAAATTGCCACCCATCTTAGGCCGCTGCTCCCTGATCAACCCGTCATAGCGCCCACCGGCTGCGAAGACATCCTTGACTCTCTTGGTGTAAAGACACGAGAACAGTAGCCCGCCAGTGTAGAAGCTTTCTTTCAAACTATTGAGCGGGCTGATATAGATCTTCGTTATTACACCGAAGCGCTTCGCATAGTCGACCACTTCCTTCAGATGCGCGATAGTCGGAGACACTCTTTGATACATGTCTGTGCCCTCAAACAGCTTCTTCAGCTTGGCGTATGTCTTGTTAGGTGTATCCCTAAAGTCAAACTGCTGAAGTTCATCAACGCTAGTAGCGGAAAGACCAACGGCAGGGGACCGGAGTTCCATTCGAATTTTCTGCCACGTAAAGTTGTGAATGTTGAGTCGACTCAGAACATCGGAAGTCGCACGGCGATTAGCCGGCTCGATACCGCAGTGCTCATAGATCAACTGTAGAAGATCAGAGTGACCAAGATAAAAGCTCATAGGCGTTGCTGACAGAGACGGAAAGGCGACGAGGATCTCGTCGATAACTTTCAATGCCTCTGCTTCCTTTAGTGCTAAATCCAAAGCATCCGTGCTCACGATATCAAAGTCGACCTCGCCAAACATTTGCGGCTGTCCTGTATCTTGCTTGTCGCGGAAGACGCTACCAAACGCGAATGTCTTTGGTACTATCGGGCCACTTGAGTTCTTCGCCAGCATTCGTGCATGACCCATCGTCAGATCATATGGGAGTTGTAGCACCGTTCCATTTTGGTCCAGAAGCTGAACGACGTTATCTCCGTATTGCGATGACCTTGGGTAGATGGCACCACGAGTTGCTTCGACTGCGCCGTGGCGACGGAAAATGGAAGTCAATTCCGTCTTAACCATGTGCCTTGCCATCAGTTCAGACGCTGTCGGTGCATTGACAAACATGTCCCAAGCGTAATCTTTGGTAGCTTCAACTGGACGAGTAAACAAAGTTGACAACATTTTGCGATAGTATGGGGAACTTGGGTCTGCCAATCCCGCCAGAGTTCGTCGAATGGTTTCGCTCTCCATTTGCACCGGGAGCTTGCCGCTTTTCAGTAGCTCTGCACTATACGGTCGCTCCTTGGGGTTGTGGTTCACCAACGATGTTATTATTTCTGTCATCGACTTCTCTGCAGGTTTAAAGTCATTCGGTAAGATGGGCCTTTGTCGTCGCAGCTGACCGATGACATCCGCCTTTTGCATGCCCATCATTGGTTGATAGCACATCTCAAAGAAGATGATTCCCAGTGAGTACATGTCGACTTTGGTACTGTACTGACCATGAGCCGCGGAGCGAACTTCTGGTGCGGAATAGTACGCAGTACCGATACTTCTTGTCATGTCATCCGTTTCCAAATGTCCCCCAGTAGTATTTTTGTCGAGTGTAAACTGGCCACTAGTGGCGAGACCAAAGTCACCGATCTTGACATTGTCGATGCCATCAGCACTGCTACTGATGAAGATATTTTCAGGTTTCAGGTCGCGATGAACAATGCTTAGCCCATGAATATGGGCAAGTCCTTCCAAGACCTGACGAAACAAACGCCAAATCTCTGTCGTATTTTGGAACAGATTGCGCGAGATCAGATCACGTAGGGTTCTTTTCTCACAGTACTCCATCGAAATGTACAGAATGGTTCGGTACGGCTTCTGAAATCTTGCTCTGCGCAGCTGAGCGGCTTGCCTTGCCCTAACAGGTGAGCCAGGACTATGCGCGTCATCATCAGAGGCAGAGCTGTCGTCTTCACGCTCAGTGTCATCATCGTCTCCGTCTTCGTCGCTGCTCTCGGAATACTCAAACTCGACTGCCGCGTTGGATGACATGAAGTCTAGCCCTCCAGTACTGGTAGCAAACTGGATTTCGAGGCCGTTGGACTCGGTTTCTTGGGTTTCCTGAGTATTATCATCCGCTGATGTCTCTCCCTCTGTCTCGGTAAAATCGGCGACCTCTTCGACCCAAGTATTGTAGTATCTGACTACCGCAGGGTGACTCAATTGAGAGAGCAATCGGACTTCTTTCAGAATTTCGGTCAACGAGGTGTGCGATCGCTGGCTAATCTTCTTGATGGCATAAATCTGGCCGTCAAGTTTCTTTCTGGCTTTGACAACCTCGCCAAAGCCTCCCTTTCCGAGCCGACCCTCTTCTACAAAATCTTCCGTATACCTTGAGATCGCGGCTCCTCTGTTATGTGAGTCGCGTCGTAGGCGCATGGGTGGTGCTTGTAGAGAAGTAAGAGATGGCACAGTTGAAATGGCAGCAGAGGAATCGTCAAAAAGAACCGGGGCGTCTGTGGCAAGAAACTCGCTAGATCCGAGTTCAAACGCTCGCGGGCGTTTTTGTTTGTCTTCTTTGAAAAAGCGTCCAACAAGCTCTTGCAGAGGCTGCGAGAGCAGGAGAGATTCCATCAAGTTTTTCGGTGACGAGTATTTGCGCAATACGTCAAGTCCGAAGATCATCTGCACAAAGACAATACCAAACTCCCAAATATCAGTTTTGTATGTATAGATGGGTTTGGACGCTGCGGCAATTTCTGGCGGAAGCCAGTATGCGGATTTGGCAGAGTTGACGCCAGGAGGGCCTTGCTTCTGCTCGGAAAGCGCGTATATCTCACGCTGATACCATGCATCAGCTAATTTTGGGACAATCTCGCCAGTTGGTTCTCTAAATAACAGAATATTTCTAGCATGGATACACTGATGCGCAATGTTCTTATTATGTAGAAAATTGAGTGCATCAAGTAAATCTCGGGTCCATGATTTTACCTTGCTCACTTCGAGATTTCCAGCCAGCTCGAGTAGTTCCTCCAGAGGGCCCTTTTCAGCGAGTGGCATAAGAATTCTGACTGTCCAAGCGTTGGCAGCTGAAGGGTCTGACGGAATTCCACCTTCAACTTTGAAGTCCAAAATCTCGACGATTTGTCTGTGGACAATCTTTTTGGTCGCTTTCAGGTCTTGAAGACGCGACTCCAGGGATTGTAGTTGCTTTCTGAAATCTTGAGAATCTTTCCCGGAAGGTCTCAGAGTGGCTTCTTTGAGTGCAAGTGTCTGGTTGCAGAATCCGCTAGATGCAACCGGGCGGACGGTATAGACCACGGACACCTTGCCCCGGCGCTCATCACATTTCGCTGCAACCGACCGAAAAGTGATGAGGTTACCAGATTTGTCCATGGAGTTGCAAAATTGGTCGAAATCAATGCGATCTTCAACAGCTTCGTTGGCTTGGGCAGTAAGATGCTGATGAGCGCCATTGGGTCGACGACTCTGGCGAGATTCTTTTCCCTTTTGACGTTGGCGATCCAGCTGCTGCTGAAGCATTTCGGCAATTATTCGCTCTTCTTCCTTTGCTGCTTCCATCTGCTTGCGATCCTCCTCTTCCTTTTGTTGTTGGGCAGCTCTAGTAGCCTCAGCTTCGTGGCGGTCACGCTCTTCTTCAAGCGAAGGCAGGTTTTTACCAGCCGCCTTTGCCTGGGCGGCCTCCTCAAGGATCTCGCGGATACCTTCGACAATTTGGTCCACCATTTCTTGCTCATCGTTGGCAAATATCTTGGGCTGTGTCTCGATGAACTTTTGGATCTTGAACTGTGTCGATTCGCGGAGGAAGCCCTGCTCTTTGATGGTAATGATTGGCGGCGTCTTGGGATAAGTAGCATTGAGAACGAAGCCGATGGTGACGGCATAGTCTTCGTCGGTCGTTGCTTTGATTCGTATGTCGAAACAGGGCTCTGCTTTCTGCTAGCGGTCAGCATCGTTCCCCGAGAGACTGGTAGGTAGGGTAGGTCGTGCCTGCCAGGCACTATGGGTGCCGTTATGTTGAACAAAGTCTTCTCCATAGATGGCTTCTAGGGCCAGCAGTTCGTTTTGCTGGAGCTCTTCATATTCAATTTTGTTGGTAGCCTCTGGGCTCGTGGGTTTGAGCCCAGGGAAGCTTGAGTCATCGTTGGGTTGATTAACGAGTGGCGATTTCCATGCGCCAGTTGCTTGCCACGCCATGGTTGCGTGAGGTACGAGCAAGTATCACAGCCAAGGCCGTGATCGCTTACGCTGAAGTCGCCATGCTGATATTGGTAGGGTAATAATATTGGTCGGGTTCGCATGAAGAATGCGAAGCGGGAGAGGAAGCTCTTTGGCTCTGCGGTTTACGTCTTAAAGAATAGCGGGGTACTATCTTTAGTGGGGAAGGTGAGTAAAAGTAGATAGAGAAAGTAAGTTTAGTAATTATACGTAGTAGCTATATAAATGCAAGAGATGAAAAGATCTTAATAGCCTGGATTACATTATGAACGCTTTTTTGAAGGTTATAAATACTTTATGGCTAGGTGTGGCTTAGACACTGACATCAGCGCCCCCATTGTGCTTTCTATAGCGCGACTGAATTTTCTATGTGTCTCTACACTTAATTGAAGCTGTCATAAATATGGCCTCTATGGCAA